AACTCTTCTATGAGGTCCAGTAGTCTCTTATAGAGTTCTTTGGATCCCCTAAGTAAAGAATCATATCATCTGCAAAGAGGGATAGTTTGACTTCTTCCTTCCCAATTTGTATCCCTTTAATTTCTTTTTCTTGCCTAATAGCTCTGGCTAAAACTTCCAGAACTATATTGAATAGCAGTGGTGAGAGTGGACATCCCTGTCTGGTACCAGATCTCAGTGGAAATGCTTCCAACTTTTCCCCATTCAATAGGATGCTGGCCGTGGGTTTTTCGTAAATTGCTTTTATTATATTGAGGAATGTTACTTCTATACCCAGTTTGCTTAGGGTTTTCATCATGAAAGGGTATTGTATTTTATCAAATGCTTTCTCTGTGTCTATTGAGATAATCATATGGTTTGAGTTCTGCAGTTTGTTAATGTGGTGTATCACATTGATTGATTTGCGAACATTGAATCATCCCTGCATACCAGGGATAAATCCCACTTGGGGATTTATCCACTGGGTGGATGATCTTTCTGATGTGTTGTTGCATTCTATTGGCCAGAATTTTATTGAGGATTTTTGCATCTATGTTCATCAGGGATATTTGTCTGTAATTTTCTTTCAATGCTGCATCTTTCTCTGGCTTAGGAATTAAGGTGATGCTGGCTTCATAGAAAGAATCTGGGAGGATTCCCTCTCTCTATATTGTTCTGAATAGTTTGAGAAGAATTGGAGTTAGTTCTTTTTTAAATGTCTGGTAGAATTCAGCAGTGAATCCATCCAGTCCTGGGCTTTTCTTTGTTGGGAGGGCCTTTATTACTGTTTCAATTTCTGTCTCAGTTATGGGTCTGTTTAGGTTTTCTATGTCTTCCTGGTTCAATTTAGGCAGGTTGCATGTGTCCAGGAATCTGTCCATTTCTGAGATTTCCCTGTTTGCTGGCATACAAGTCCTTGTAGTAATTTCTGATGATTCTTTTTATTTCTGTGGTGTCTGTTGTTACGTATCCTTTTTCATCTCTGATTTTATTGATTTGGGTCTTTTCTTTTTTTAGTTAGTTGGGCCAATGGGATGTCAATTTTGTTTATTTTTTCAAAAAACCAGCTCCTCGTTTGGCTGATTTTTTGTAATTTTTTTATTCAATCCTATTGATTTCTTCTCTGATTTTAATTATTTCTCTTCTCCTACTGGATTTGGATCTGGTTTGCAGCAGTTTTTCTAGATCCTTGAGATGCATTGAAAACTCATCTATTTGGTGCCTTTCCAATTTCTTGATGTAGGCCCCTATTGCTATAAACTTTCCTTTTAACACTGCTTTTGCTGTATCCCCTAAGTTTTGATATGTTGTGCTGTTATCCTCATTTACTTCCAGAAAGTTTTTTATTTCTCTTTTGATTTCTTCTATGACCCAGTGTTCATTCAGGAGCATGTTGTTAAGTCTCCATGTGTTTGCATATGTTCTAGGGATTCTTGAATTGCTAATTTCCAATTCATTCCCCTATGGTCTGAGAAGCTGCATCGTATGATTCTAATTCTTTTGAATTTGTTGAGACTTGCTTTATGGCCTAGTATGTGGTCAATCCTAGAGAAGGTTCCATGTACTGCTGAGAAGAATGTAAATTCTTTATGTGTAGGATGAAAAGTTCTGTATATATCTGTTAGATCCATTTGGGTTGTAGTGTCATTTAAATCTACTGTATCCTTGTTGATCTTCTTTCCAGTTGATCTATTTCTTTTTTTTTTTTCATTTTTTATTTTTTGACAGGCAGAGTGGACAGTGAGAGAGAGACAGAGAGAAAGGTCTTCCTTTGCCGTTGGTTCACCCTCCAATGGCCGCCGTGCCGGCGCTCTGCAGCCAGTGCACCGCACTGATCTGATGGCAAGAGCCAGGTACTTCTCCTGGTCTCCCATGGGGTGCAGGGCCCAAGCACTTGGGCCGTCCTCCACTGCACTCCCTGGCCACAGCAGAGAGCTGGCCTGGAAGAGGGGCAACTGGGACAGAATCCAGCACCCCAACCGGGACTAGAACCCGGTGTGCCGGCGCCGCAAGGCAGAGGATTAGCCTAGTGCGCCGCAGCACCGGCCGATCTGTCTATTTCTGAGAGTGGAGTATTGAAGTCCCCCAGTACTATTGTATTGGGGTCTAAGTCTCCCTTTGAGTCCCTTAACATATCTTAAATAAACCAGTGCCCTGTAATTAGGTGCATATACATTGACAATCATTATATCTTTCTGTTGAATTGATCCCTTAATCATTATATATTGCCCCTCTTTGTCTCTCTTAACAGTTTTTGTGTTAAAGTTTATTTTGTCTGATATTAAGATGGCTACGCCCGCTCTTTTTCATTTCTGTTGGGATGGTATATCTTTTTCCAGCCTTTCACTTTCAGTCTGCATGCATCTTTGTTGGAAAGATGTGTTTCTTGTAAGTAGCAAATAGATGGGTTTTGTTCCTTAACCCATTCAGCCAATCTGTGCCTTTTAACTGGAGAGTTGAGGCCATTAACGTTCAATGTGACTATTGATAAGTAGTAACTTTGCCCTGCCATTTTCCCAAAGATATTTTCTAATATATGCTTTGAACTTCCTGTGATCTTTTGCTGTGAGGTTTCCTTCCTTTACCTTCTTTCATATTGATGACCGTGTTTCTGTGTGTAACACATCTTTAAGCATCTTTTGCAGGGCTGGACAAGTGGCGACAAAGTCTTTCAATTTCTGTTTGCTATGAAAGGTCTTTATTTCACCTTCATTCACAAAGGAGAGCTTTCCAGGATATAATATTCTGGGCTGGCAATTTTTCTCTCTTAGGGCCTGGGCTATGTCTCGCCACTCCCTCCTAGTCTTGTAGGGTTTCTGATGAGAAGTCTGCTGTGAGTCTCATTGGAGATCCTCTGAGAGTAATCTGACGTTTCTCTCTTGCACATTTTAGAATCTTTTCTTTATGTTTCACTGTGGTGAGTTTGATTACAACATGTCGTGGTGAGGATCTCTTTTGGTCATGTTTACTAGGGGTTCTATGAGCTTCCTGTACTAGGATGTCTCTGTCCTTCTCCAAACCCAGAAAGTTCCCTGCTAGTATCTCACTAAAAAGGCCTTCTAATCCTTTCTCCCTCTCCATGCCTTCAGGAACTCCTAGAACCTGAATATTGGTTTTTTTAATAGTATCCTGTAGATTCCCAACAATATTTTTTAGATTTCTAATTTCCTCTTCTTTTCTTTGGTTTGACTGTATACTTCCCAGTGCTCTGTCTTCTAATTCCAATATTCTCTCTTCTGCTTCACTGACTCTATTTTTAAGGCTCTCTAATGTGTTTGTCATTTGATCTATTGAGTTCTTCATTTCATTTTGATTTCTCTTCACTATCACACTTTCCTGTTCTACTAGTTTCTGCGTTTCATTTTGATTCCTCCTTAAGATTTCATTTTCACAAGAGAGATTTTCTATCCTGTCCAGTAAGGATTTCTGTAGTTTAAGAATTTGTTTTTGAAAACTTCTAAATGTTCTTATCATAAATTTTTTGAAATCCATATCTTGCATTTCTTCCATCTCATCATCTTCATAATCTTAGCTTGGGGTGTCTTGTTCATCTGGGAGCATCATAATGTCTTCCTTGTTCTTATTTCCTCGGTTTCTGCGTTTGTTGCTTGGCATTGTGGAGATATTCTTTGGATTCTTCATCCCTTGCTGTGGTTTTTTTTCTTGTTATACTATGACTGTATTAAGTGGACTGTCTGCTTTTGGAGGAGCCTTAAAGGCTTGAGATGGGTGTAGCCAGAGAAAAGGTGTGCCAAAGGTGACACACTCAGGTTAGGCATGGTAAGTCTGTCTCTCTCTCTCTCTCTCTCTTTCTCTTTGATTCAGAAGGGAATTAATTCCGCACAGCTGAGTGGAATTGAAGGTAGTCAGCTTCCGATCTCTGGCTCCTGTGGGTATTTCATTGGTCTGCTCTTTCCCAACTACCACACAAAGAATCTCTTCTGCCCTCAGTGTGGGCTCAAATTCTCCTGCAGTCTCCCACTGGGCTGCCAAGGTTACCGACTTGTAGCATCTCTGGAGAGTACTCATGTGAACTCTGAGTTCTCTCACCCACCGTCTGTTTTTTCACAGTCTCAGTTCATTAGCTCCACACATTCACTAGGTCCTAACCTCCTGTTATTTCACCCCTCCAGAGTCAGGTTTTTCTGTTTGACTGAGGGCAGGTGCAGCTCTGAGGTCGCACAGCTTTTACGTATGTACAAAATGGCACCTGCTCTTTATCTTGCTCACCTTTGCGAGGTGGGCAGAGAGAGAGAAACTCGTCCGTACCACCCCCCCCCTTTTTTTTTCCTCTTTCCTCTAGTTAGCATGGTGAACTTTCCCCAGTGGGGCTTCAAGCCTCATTCCCTCTAGGCTCTATCTGCCATTTCCCCGCCAATGTCTCGGATACTGAGGGTTTGCCTCACCTACCCTTCCAGCGCAGATGCGTAGACTCCACGGTTGGGCTCCAGAGCCGTGGGTGTCCTTGCTCTCCCCGTAGGTTGTCCGTGTCACATCCACTAGATCCAAAAGAGTTTCCTCTGAAACCCTCCCCCCCGAGCCTTTCCCTGAAACTACAGTAACTCCATTTTTATTAAACTGTCTTTTCCTGGACTATCAGTGCACGTCCTCACTACTCCGCCATCTTGGTTCATTATAATTTTCAAGAAACACACTGAAGGCTGTTTGCGTGGAATGATAGAGGATGTCTTGGATTTGTTTTATAGTAATCCTGTAGGGTTTGAGGAAATACAATTACCCATATTTTGATGGTTGTTGAAGTTGGTTAACAACTCATGGGTTTATTATATTATTCTCCCTAACTCTGAGTTTTAAAATCTCAATAGCAATTTAAGAGAAAGGAGAGATATATGGAAATTCATCTGGGTCAGGACATGACTGAGGGAGACAACTCTGAGGCCACACCACTTTGTTAGAAGAAAAGCACAAAGATGCTCTAGCACATCAACCTCATTGGCTCTCCTCTCCTTCCTTTCTTGTAGGTCTTTTATTTGCTCACAGTCATGGGTGCAAGTTTCTCAGCTGAGCTTAGCAAAGAATGCCAAGATCTGGAATCCAGCTTTAAAGACTATATTAGGAACTTCAGGGAGGAAAGAAAAATCCTCTCTCAGGAAACCATCCTTTCAATCAAGTCACGCCTGAGCAGAGGAGACATTCAAGGCGCACATTCCATAATCAGTGGTATATTAGAAAATATTGACAAGATCCCACTGAATATTGCTGTGACGGGGGAGTCGGGATCCGGGAAGTCCAGTTTGGTGAACTCCCTGAGAGGGGTGGGACACGAAGAAGAAGATGCGGCTCCCACTGGGGTAGAGGAGACAACCATAATGAGAACGCCATACAAACACCCGAAATTTCCCAACGTGACAATATGGGACTTGCCTGGCATCGGAACCACTAATTTCCAGCCGAAAGATTATCTGGAGAAAGTCAAGTTTGGTGAGTACGACTTCTTCATTATTGTTTCTGCAACACGCTTCAAGAAAAATGACCTAGACCTGGCCAAAGTTATAAAAGCTATGAAGAAGAACTTCTACTTTGTGAGAACCAAGGTGGACCTGGATTTACAAAATGAACAGGAATTTAAACCAACTACCTACGTAAGAGACAAGGTCTTAGAAGAGATTCGAAACAAATCTCTGAAGGAATTTAAGGATAATAATATTGAAACACAAATCTTCTTAATTTCTAACAAAAATTTGTCTGAGTTTGATTTCCCAATCCTGATGGAAACCCTACTAAAGGATCTCCCTGCTCAGAAGCGCCACGCATTCACGCTTTCCCTGCCCAACATTACTGAGGCAGCCATTGATAGAAAGAGGGACTCCCTAAAGCAGATTGTCTGGCTAGAAGCCTTCAAGGCTGGAATTTCGGCAATTGTTCCTGCAGTGGGCATCATAAAGGACAATGATGTGAAGAAGCTGAAGGCCTCCCTACATCAATATCAATTCCACTTTGGAGTAGATGACACATCTCTGCAGAGTCTGGCTAAGGATTTGCAAGTGCCTGTGGAAGAACTCAAAGCCATCATTAAGTCTCCCTATTTGTTTGACACTGAAAAAGAAGAAACAACAGGGGAAATGGCTTTGAAATTCTTGGAGATTTCAAGTTCAGTTGCTTTCCCTCCTCTTGCTGCAGGTCTTTACTTTATGAAAGTCTTCTACCTGCAATTTCATTTCCTTGACATAGTGACCAGTGATGCTAAAGTTCTCCTTAAGAAGTCATAGTCCAGGCAGGTGCCACGGCTCAATAGGCAAATCCTCCGCCTTGTGGTGCCGGCACACCGGGTTCTAGTCCCGGTCGGGGCTCCGGATTCTGTCCCGGTTGCCCCTCTTCCAGGCCAGCTCTCTGCTGTGGCCAGGGAGTGCAGTGGAGGATGGCCCAAGTGCTTGGGCCCTGCACCCCATGGGAGACCAGGATAAGCACCTGGCTCCTGCCATAGGATCAGCGCGGTGCGCGCTGCGGCCATTGGAGGGTGAACCAATGGCAAAGGAAGACCTTTCTCTCTGTCTCTCTCTCTCACTCTTCACTCTTTCTGTCAAAAAAAAAAAGTCATATTCCAGAAACCAGTTGACTTCCCAATAGACAAAAATCATCTGCATGTTGAAATTCTAATTTGTAGAATAATGTAGTACAATGCTTGTTGGCAACCCATCTACTGAGTGCTCTTGCCATCCAGGCAGCAACTCATACATAATGATTGCATGTCCCTTTTAGATGTACCATGGGAATGGGATATTTTTGAATATGGTCAGAGAGCTAAATAGCATGCATCCACTTCCAATGAACCACCACATCAGATGATTTTACCTCCTTTAATGTAGCTGTGAACTTGACAACCATTTTTCTTCCTGACATAAGCTCTTTGAAACCCAGTTGTACCCCATTCCCTTCAACATAGTGATAACATCTTCTTTCTGCATGGTTGTTTGTGATGCAGCCTGACTTTCCTGCATCTGACTGATCCAAATTCGCAGCTGCTGACCATGATAAAGCTTGTTGGTCAACAGCAGAGTCAACATAGGTGAGCTTCCTCTTCTCACCGTCTTAAAGCAGCCAAACCCCAGCTCCCATGGGAAAGCCTGAGGTATAGCACCTGTGGTCCTTAGCAAATGCTGGCCCCACAGGTCCACTTACTTACCCTTGGTTCCCACCCACTAGTAGAGCTCCATGCTACTGCTGTACTTCCTGTCAATGTCATCTCTGGGTTTCTAACCTCTGATTCCTGGGGAAACAGTTTCTTCTGTTTCACGCATTTTAGTGTCACCTCCTTGTGTCCCAGCTGACAAAGGAGGAAACCTCTGTCTCCATGCTCCCCCAGTCAGGGCTGTCCTTGGGACAACCCATTTTGGTTTATGCCACTCTTAAGAGCAAAACAGCAAGAAATTGTATCACCATAAAAATCACAACTTTGATAAAATCATAAGAAATCTATTTCATCAGACTCCTTCTCCGAAAAGTAACTAAAAAAATTTATAAGTCTGTGCTGATAGGAGAGAGGAAATCTCCGACTTATTATAGTTTCATGGCTTTTTATTGTCAGGATGGTAAGAAAGCCCTATAATCCCCTTGTGATACCAATAGATGCTGAAGAAATGCCTGATAGAAGATACTTGCTGGGGCCGGCATTGTGGCTTAGTAGGTTAAGCCTCTGCCTGCGGTGCTGTCATCCCATATGGGCACTGGGTCTTGTCCTGGCTGCTCCTCTTCCAATGCAGCTCTCTGCTAATGGCCTGGGAAAGCAGTAGAATTTGGCCCACGTGCTTGGACCCCTGCCCCCAAGAAGAAGTTTGGAAGAAGCTCCAGCCATGTGGACATTTGAGTAGTGAACCAATGTATGGAAGATCGATCTCTCTGCTTCTCCCTCTCTGTGTCTTTAACGCTGCCTCTAAAGTAAATAAATCCTTTTTTTAAAAAAAAAATGCCTACTTCTTATGAGTGGTGTGAAGGGTGAATATACAGAATGCTCTTTGTATATTGTATAGCTCAATAACTTAGCCCTCATAATTATTTAAAAAAAAAGTATCTGCTATTGATATGTGATACTCTCAATAAACATGGAATGCTTCAAATTGATTGTTGTTAGTGTTATGTTTTTAATGATAACCTCCATCATCTTGTTTTCCTCAAAATGAAATAAACAGTACCTGGGCTGGAAAGGCTGCAAGAAACACCAGATGAAGTGGTTGTGACTCACTTTGAGTGGTGGTTCCTTAGTTCAGGCTGCCGTACCTCATAGAGTGGGTGGACTAAACAGCATAAATGTGTTTGTCACACTTCCGGAGACTCAAAGTGGGAGATGTAGTTGCCAACATGGCCGGGTCCATGGGAAGGCATTTTTCCTATCTATGTCCTTGGTCATGGGTTCAGAGAGAGTCTCTTCTCTGCTCCATTTTATTATAAGGACATCACTTTCATCACTAGGGCCCCATTCTCATCACCCAGTTTAATTATGTTCCAAAAGCCCCACCTCCTAATATGATCCCATTAGTGGATAGGTTATTGACATGCATATTTTGGGAAAACAAATGTGCCATCCATAACAGTAGGGTTATACAGGTTATGCATATGACTTATTTCCTTTCTGATTAGAACCTATGACAGTTCTCATTTTTCCAACATCATACCTGCTAAGTATTTTGCAAAGAAATTGAGTATCCTTTATCAAAATGCTTGGACCAATGGGTTTGGGGTTTGGATTTGCGAATATTTCTGTGTACACGATGAACCAGCTTAGGAATGGGAACCATGCCTAAAGGCAAATTCGACTTATGTTTCATATACACATTATGCACACAGGCTAAAGTAGTTTTGTACAGCATTTGTAGTGTAGCTATGTTTTGACTGCAACCCATCATGTGAGATCAGGTGTGGAATTTTCTACTTCTTATGCCATCCCAGTGTTTAAAACATTTTGGCTATGAAATTTTCAGGCTAGGAATACTCAGTTGTTTTGAAAATAGCAACATGAATCAGTCTATTTTTGTTACTATGGTAAAATACCTGGGTACTTAAAAAGAGAAGAGGTTTATTTAGCTCACAGTTTTGGAGTTGGCAAAAAAGCATGACACCTGCTCCCATGAGGGCTCCCTTGACTTACTTGTCATAGAGGAGGGCACTACAATGGCAGGAGTTGATAGAGACAGAAACAGACAAATCCCACCACCAGGCAGGGGCACAAAGAGTCTGCAAGGTGGCCAGGCTTTTCCTATGTAACAGTCCTCTCACAAGAACTAACTCAGCAGCCCCATGAGAATTTTTTTACTCCTTTCTGAGCACATGCCCCTAAGGACCTCTGACCTAGAAGATCACACCTGTTAACACTGTTGCACGAGGACCAAGCTCTCAGCTTACAAACCCTTGGGAGACAAACTCAACTCATCTGCAAACCATGGCAAACAAACCAACACACAAAAGCAGTAGAGAAATGGGAAAATCTATATGAAATAAGTGAACCAAAATATAAAAGAAAATGAAGTTGATGGGGACCAGACGAGGAAATGAGAATTGGCTTGGCAGTAGGGTGAGGACCACGGACTATGGCATTACAGTGACGAGCTCAAGCCTGGATACACAGTGTAACAATAGTTCCACGACACCTATTTGTGGTGGTCCCTTAATCTTCAAATGAACAGTTGCACCTGTATATGTAATATTGTCATATCAATGACTATTGGATAGGCTGGCTTCAATAGACCAAATATTTAATAAGCAAAAGCAATGTATTTCCTTGCAGAGATGGATACAATTCAGGAGGAGCAAGGGAGAAATCTGGAAAAAAGGAAATGCATTATTCTAAGCCTTCCTCACCTTTCATCAGTTTGTGGACTCTGAATGCTCAGGTGAGTGACAGCAGTGATGAAGATCTGAGTAGGGGTCAGAGAAAAACTGCTGAGAACGATGTCGCCTCTCAGGGACTCGCTCATCCTCCTTTTCAGATGTGATAGGACGGGCTTCTGGAGAGTGAGGACATTCTGGTTTACAAAGCTGTATTTTGGAACTGTCATGCTATTGGGATGATTACCATGGGAGCTAGGCAATGAGTTGCTGTCCATCAGAATTATATTCTCTCGTGATCATGCTGTTGAACATCCCTACTCTTTATATGGCTTCACCTACAAAGGAGCAACATATGGGTGTGTGTTCATAGACAGCTATGAGGACTCAAAGAACTAATCATGTAGAGTTAACAGGTGCAATCCAACTTTGGTGACACCAGTGCCACCTCCCTAGTCCAAGCCATCATCATCTTTTCCTGGATTATTTGAATTCTCAAATGCTTTCTAGGTGCTGCACTTTCCCTTTTGCAATGATTCTTCTTGTAGCTCAATGATCATTAAGAACCAGAAAGAAACCAGCAGGGGCTGGCATCCTATGTCAAGTCTCAGATGCTCCACCTCCAATCCAGTTGGCTGCTAAAGCCCTTGGGAAGGCAGTGGAAGATGGGCCAAGTGTTGAGTCCCTGCCAGCCATGCGGGAGACCTGGATGTAACATGGAATTCCTGGCTCCTGTCTTCAGCCTACCCTAGACCTGACTGTTGCAGCCTTCTGGGGAGTGAACTAGCACATGAAAGACTCTCTCTCTCTTCCCTACTCCCTTTCAAATAAATAAATAAATTTCATTCTTCTGTAGGTGGATATCCAGTTTCCCCAATATGATTTTGTGTTGCAAGAACTGTCCTCCATTGTGTGTCCCTAGCAGCCTTTTCACCAGTCAGCTGACCATAAACACATAGGTTCATTTCTGGCCTCTCCAGCCTGTTCCAGTGGTTAATGTCTCTGTTTTTAATGCTAGCCTCATGCTGTTTTAATTTCTCCAGCATTTTAACAGTTCGAAATCAGGTAGTGTGATGTCTTCAACTTTGTACTTTGTGCTTAACATTTTCTGATTTCGAATGAATTTGGGATAGCTTTTTCTATTTCTGTGAAAATGACATTGGAATTTGAATAGTGACTGCATGGAATCTGCTTTAGCTAGCATGGGCATTTTAAGAATATTAATTTATCCAATCCACAAACATAAAATATTTTTGCATTTATTTCTGTCTTCTTCCATTTCTTTCATCAGTGCTTTATAATTTTCAATGTACAAATATTTTCTCTTCTTTGTTATATTTATTACTAGGTATTTTTGTTCCTATTGTAAATGGCATTGTTTCTTGATTTGTTGTGAGTGCTTAAGAGTTCCACTGAGTTTTGTGTGCTGATCTGGTATCCTGACACTTGGCTGTGTTTGCTTATTACTTCTAGCAGAGTTTTGGTGCATTCTTCAGGATGTTCTGTGCATAAGATGATGTCATCAGTAAACAGCAACAATTTCACTACTTCCTTTCCTATATATGCCTTCCATTTCTTTCTCTTGCCTAATTGCTCTGCCAGTGGCCTCCAGCTACTGCTTCTGGTATGTTAGTTTTATATCCTGCAACTTTATTGATTTCATTATGAGATCTAACACTTTTCACATAGAATTTTCACATAGGAGATCATGTATGGGGATGGGCATTTCATTTAGCAGTTAAGGTGCCAGTTAAAATGCCTGTGTCCCACATCAGAATACGTGCATTCAGAGCCTGCCTCCAACTCCTGTCTCCAGCTATCTGCTAATGAAGGCCTGAGAGGAAGCAGTGATGGTTGAAGTGGTTGTGTTCCTGCTATCCATGAGGGAGATCCAGATTGGTTCCCGAGTTCCCAGCTTCAGCCTGGCCCATCCGTGACTGTTGAGAGCATTTGGGGAATGGAAGCTCTCTCGTTCTCTCTCCCTCTCTCTCCCTCCCTACCTCCCTCCCTCCCTCTCTTTCTCTCTCCTTCTCTTTCTGCTGATTCACTCCCCAAATGGCCACAGCAGCCAGGGCTGAGCCAGGAGCTTCTTCCAGATCTCCCCCATGAGTACAGGGGCTAAGTACTTGAGCCATCTTCCACTGCTTTCCCAGGCCCATTAGCAGGGAGCTGGATCAGAAGTAGAGTAATTGGGACTCAAACCGGTGCCCAGATGGGATGTCAGTGTTGCAGACAGAGACTTAACCTACTATGCCACGTGTTTCTCCAAATGCACATCCCTGTAACGCTGCAGAAAGCCTTTAGTGATGTAGTAGTAACCCGAGCTCTCCTCCCAGTGAGCCCACAGGATTGGAGTAGGGTTGAAACAACTGGACACTATTGCCCTACACTGTATAGGTTTGGGGGATAAATACTCCATTCTTTGCCATTTCAAGGTGAAATTTGTCGATTTCCTAATGGAGATAGGGAGGTGATTTGACACCAGGAGACACACGTAGTGATCTCTGAGAAGGCAACATTCCTTGTTTTATTAATGATACGAATTATGTAAATAAAAATGTGAACTTTTGATCCAAAAGAGTTGAAGTGAAGTCCATGCTCTTCTCCATTATAGAAATACACTCTCATGCAAGTTCCTGGACTTTTCTGTCTCTCAATTATTTAAATACTAGTATCTAATTCATAGAAGTATTATGTAATTTAAATGAGAAAAGATAATTCAAATAAGATAGTACATGACTTGGTAAATGCACAATAAATGCTTGGTAGCTTGGTAGATCAGTAACAATCATCCTGACACTTATGATAAATAATGTCCTATCTAGGCTAAAAACATACCAAAGTAATAACCCACCCTAAATATTTCTGTATCTACAACTTCATGCTCAAATTTGGTATTAACATCAGTATTCCAGCAACTCAGTACAATGGTTAATTTAATTTCCTTCATGTTCTGTCATTAGCTTACAGAATGTCACTCCAGACACAGAATAAAGCATTGTTCCCTGTTTTACCAAACACATTAACCATGCACCATGTCTGTATGTGGTATGCTTTAAAGATTGTGTTGAGATTCAAACGGGTCAGTTAACTTGTAGTCCCCCAAACCAGTGGGTAGCAAGGAGGGAAATTTCCATCACAGCTTTAGGTGGCACATACCAAGGACCAGCATCCCACATCAGAGGGCCTGGGTTCCAGTCCCGATTCCACTTCTGATGCCAGCTTCCTGCTAACGCAGACACTGGGAGGCAGCAGTCATGGATCAAGTGATTGAGTTCCTGCCACCATT